CTGGGTTCTATGCCGATTTGCGCTCCCCAGATCAATCCCGCTGACGGGTGATTGCTGTGGCAAAAAGATCGATAGAAATAGCTGAGAGGCAGGCGAAACAAAGGACCCGCATGGTGTGGTGGTGAACGCGTTACTCCCCGGAAAGGTCAATAGCGCGTTCGTTCCCCACCATAGACACCTGCGGTCCAGAGTTTTGCAAATATCTCAGCAACGTTGTGGTTGTATCTTTAATTATTGTTTATGAATCAACTCGAACTTCAGTCTTCCGATTTTGGCGGACTATTCAGCGCTTGTCTCACTCCTTTTATCGTTTTGTCCTAAAAAACTCAAGTTCGAAAAAATCTATAAATTCAAGTTTTCATCGCATTTTGTGTAATCATCCGTAATTTTAAAAGCAGATTCGATCACTGCGCCAACAACGTTGTCAATCCTACGAAGGATTGTCAAGCTGCTACAAAACTCGTCAGGGAAATTAGAAGCGCAGATTTGGTACATCGGTGGACTCGCACAAGTAGAAACCATTTGTGGATTCAGTAACCTCTACGATGTTACAAATGAATTGAAATGCATGGCGCATCACCGATGGATTGGTGGTTGCGGAACACTTTACTCTTTGTGCTTTAATTTATTTTCTCTCAAATGGTTCGATAAATTTCTGATGTTCTGATTTATGAAGATTTTAGGACAAAAATGATATGTTTGCTTTAAGGAGAAAAGGGACGTGTAATTTGAAGGCGACCATTACTTTTACTATTCAAAGTCACAATAGTCATTATGCATAATCAGTCATCGGATTGATGTGTGTACGTCGTGATGGTGTTGACGTCATGGCGCTATGATGCAGATGTTAGCCGACTCGCGTTCGTTCGGAGATGACCTTCAATGTCCGATGAATTTGTGACATCTCTGGCCGTCGAGCCGGATCTTTCTCCCAACATGAGTATACCACTTCAGCAACACTCTTGGGTGTTTCCTAAATCGTCTAATTAAACACCTAAAGCGTTGAATTCACACTGCTCTTTAGCTTTTATCAACCATCCTGTGGCGATGACAAGGTGTTTCAACGTGCACTATGATGTTACAAATGCCTTTAACCTACTTTAACTCATGTTAAATCTTTTACTGGTTGAAATTGCAACCTTGGGCATTTCCATTCTGTAATTCTGAACAACAATTTTCGCTCGAGTTTGTAGTCTTGTTAGACCGGGATACGGTTCCTGACCATCGGCATAAATCTCCCACACCAACACACCTACAAAATATGGCTTCACCCAGTTGTTGTTGTTCCTATTGATTTCTTGTTGTCGTTGTAATTTTATGTTCTTTTTACTAGTAACTTAATAGCCGATAACCTTGTTTAGAAATTATTTTGCTTAGGGACGGAAGACGCTTAGAAAGAGTTCTTACCATACGACCAAACATCTGTTTTGAGCGAATAAATTTTATCTTGAAGTGTTTCCGGAGCTAACCATTTTACTGGAACCTGAAGTAGGATGGTATAAACATGGTGAACACACTAAAAACTATGTAAATTCTTCAAATTATTCCTTACATTTCTTCAAAAATTATTAGACATTCTACGTAATCAGCGGCATTTAAATAAGAAACAATTTTAATAATTGTAGAATAAAAAAAGCCAAAATAGTTCAGTCAGTAGCGATTGCGAACAACTATGCGATCTCCGACGCACCTGATCTTCTATCTTTACTGGTATGTTAGTGACTTACAAAATTTTTTGCTCTGGAATCTCAAAATTGTTTTTTTAAAAATCCTCCCAACGGATTACCGCCTCATCATGGCTTGGAGGTGCTCCTGGGAGTCGGACTGCGACGTACATGGCAAAATTCCTCCATGGCAAGGTCTTCCTGGCTGAGGTGTCCGGCGTTTCCATCAGGAAGCCTAGCTAAGAGCAGACCAATAACAGGATCCACTACCGTCCTGGTAACAAAGTCTCATGGTGGCAAATCTTCCTCTGATCCACAAGAGCTGCGACTGCCTGTCGTGGTCACGACCTGGGGCAGACTGGCCATACTGTTCTCGGGATTCCAGGGAAACACAGCGGCTTAGCCAGCGAATCTCCGAAAAATAGTGATTGTACTGGGGCCCGCACAACTAGTGAGGAAGAGCCGTTCAAGCATCAAGTAAGTAGGAATTTCAAAATACCAATATTATGATTTTCTTAAGTTTTCACGAAGTGAACCGTCCTAGGACATTGTCGCTTGAATTTTTTGGAAGGCTTTGCGCATTTATTCACTGCTAACTCGGTATCTGCGTAGAAATCTCGTCCAGCATTGATGGATGTGATGGAAGAGAAACCTGGATCGAATTATGGTTTGAAGCTCATGACCATCCTCCTCGTTGATTACGAAGCCATAAACCTTTGGAGGGAGAGAATAAATGTTTTGCAATTAAATACATAGTTATGATGAGCTAGGTCTGTACAGGAAAAGCACTTATAGCACGAAAATGTCGCAATAACTATCTAGGTGCATATGTCGATATTTATAGTACTACATAAGATAAAAACTAGACCTTTTCAAGTGTATCATCATGAACTATAACTTTATCATCTGACATGCCAAAATCAGCGATTTTAATTTCCTGAAATTAATTGATTGCCGTCAAATGAAGGATTTCTTAGTTAATGGTGTATGAAAAAAAAGCCCATTATCATCGCGTTGAAACATACATATTTTGGTCCTAGCAGACAATTTCTGGCTGCTATATCCCTGTGTATGCAGAGTTTTTTCTCCAAATACGCCAAACCATCGGACGCTTCCAAAGCAAATCGAAGCTTGTCTGACAATGTGACGCTACCTCGGTTTTTCCGTAAATGTGAAACTAATGAGCCATCTGGAATGAAAATAATGAGTTATAGTGAGCGAAAAATGCCTAAACGGTCGGCCGACCACGCGCTCTGGTGAGTGATTGAGCACAGTTTTGATCAACGTCCTATCAAGGTCCATTGGCCAAAGGCAAAATTCAAAGCAACTTTTGATGGCATATACGGTTTCACTTTTCTACGTAACATAAGATTTGTGTACTATCAAAAATCTGTCACTATAAAGGATAAAGGATCGATCTCTCGGTGTTGACCAAGCCCTGAGGCATGCGTCAAGCAATCGACTTCATTATGCGCCGTTTGAAGTGATTGAATGCATATCTGGCCATTTCAATAAGTCGCAGTGCCTGCCAGTCTATCGAGCCAGTGCTGCTATCCTCCCAAACAAGTCTGGTACCAATCTGCCGACCCCGGAGGGATGGAAGGCTTGGTGTGCCACGACGCAGAGATCGATGCCATGTGATGCACGGTTCCTTCTACCACTGCGCAGCGCACACCCTGATGACCCGTCCTCACTAGTTGTGCGGTCCCCAACATGATCTCCATTTGTTGGAGTTCTGCTTTAGCTATCATAGTTTGTTGGAGTTTCGAGGTCCACCTAACCAAATTCTGCCCCAGGTCGTCACCACCACAGACATTTGCCGCCTTCGTGGATCAAAGGGAGATCTGCACTATATGATATAACAATTCAAAAAAAATCATTTTATTATCCCATGCCTTTTAGATTTCTACTGTGTCTACTGACGACCGGATTACCAGTGCGGTGCTAGAAATGTCGATATCTCTCTCATAACAGTTGAGCCAACGCTTAGAAATGTCATCCTTATTTACGTAGCTACCCCATGAAACCACCCATTTAGATTCTTTTCAATCGTAAATACTTCTTAGAATCACACTCACTTGGACACACTTCCATAACGAGCATAAGAGGATGTTCATGCACAGCGACACCAAGTATTTTCACCACATGTTTATGATTATATTTTCTCATAAGTCGTGCTTCCTTCATAAATTTTAAACGAGCATCTCGTGTAGCCTGAATAACATACGGCTATTTTGAGTTGAAAGTAAGCAACACAAGTGATACACACGAGAAAAACTACATGATCGGAAACTATTGCTTAAAGCTAAAAAGCTCTCGGTGTGGATCAATCCCTGACAGACGCGTCATGCATTCGACTTCATTAAGCATTGTTTGGAGGTGAACGAATGCATATCTAGCTTTCACAATGACTTGCGGTGGCCTATCGGTGTATCGAGCTAGTGCTGCTATCCTCCCAGACAAGTCTGGTACCAATTTGCCGACCCCGGAGGGTTGGAAGGCTTGGTGGGCCATAAGCGCGTAGATTGGTTCCACGTGTGCTTTGCAGGTCGCCTCCGACCACTGTGCCACACGCACCCTGTCTATTGGTCAATGTATAGCAATGCAGCGTTACTAATGAATGTGCCTCCTAACATGTATTGTATGTGTTATCCGCACCCCGATCTGTTCATCTCATATGACACTTATTATTTCCACTAACTCTTACGACCTCATTTCAACCCCACATTCATCTGAATCTGATGAAAGCATCGCCGCACGGCATGAAAACGCTCACTGCGTAACTTTACCTACGCGAACATAACATACATGACTGTTAGCATTGGTGATTAGGCGTTATTTGAGCTTGAAACCAATCAAAAACTAAGTATTTACTGCAACGTACTTCGTTCCTCATCGTTTTCACTGCGACCTCTTGTTTCGTCTTTCCGCTACCATATTCAGCAAGATATACTTCACCAAAAGCTCCTTCACCGAGTTTCTAAAAATCGGCCTTTGTTAATATATTTCAAATTTGGCATTATTATGACAAGTGACTTACTTTTACGAGTACTATTGAATCATGATTGAGAAGCCACTGTGTCCGTTCGACAGGACGTCTTAATCTTGCGTTAGATGCTGCTGATAAAGGTGTTTTCGTAGCGCTAAATTCAACTCCCTAAACTCAATAAAAGCATAGAAACTTTGTTGAGCCCTTCAAGGAACTCTTCCACACCAAGTCCGGCCAGAGGTAAAGCATTTAGTTTGCTTCAAGTGAAGTCTTTTTGTCTATATGAAAATCACATAAACGATCGAATACAAGCTTTGTGCTCAAACATGGAACATTGAATGCCATCTCCAGTATATGAACAACCATAAGAATGTAATGTAGCTACAGCGCTGATATCACTGATCCAACGGAAACATTCTACTGTGATCAAAGAAGTGTGAGATAGGTCCTTGTAATAGTCCATCCACCTCACTTTGACTATTCAATAAGTGTCCCAGTGTTGGACCGTAACGCTTCAAACAGATGGGGTTTTGTTTCCAGATGAAGTAATTTAATAACGGAATTCGGCGGTTCTCTGCTATAAACCAATTAGGCGTCAATCGAAGTTGGAAATTCGCGCCGTATTCTCTAAGCGATGACGGAAAATCACCTCCCAATGACTGCTGTTTCTTCGCAGTTACATTGTAACGCCTAGACATCTCACAAATCTACTCGACGAAGGAGTGCATGACACAAACCGCCGACACTGGCGCAGAAACCGCCACGCCGAAAACACACAGGCATACAAACTCACGCAGGCACACAACTACACTTATCCACACATATACAGCACACACACATACACACACACGAACACACACACATACACACACACATACACACACATACATACACAGGCAGAGAAGTGCACACACATACACGCACACACTCAAGTACACGCTTGTCCTGTTTTCTAGGGAACGAACAGAAGAGGACAGTCTTATACAAATCGTAACTTCACTCACAGATGCCATGCGATCAAGTCGGCAATGCTCTTCTCGTGATGATGTTCTAGGTAGAACGTTCCGGATGGGTCTTGGTTGATCATAAAGTGCTTGACACCGCCTTCTGTTTTACATGAAAGTGCTAGCACGATCACACCTGACAAAAGCAATCAATTCGATTTTAGTCAAATTAGGGTATCAACAATGCTTCACACAAATTTGACTCATCATTATAGCATTCAAAACCATAGCTTAAAAGTGCAATCAACTGACTCTTACTAAACTCAGTGAGAGAATTCACTTTTATCAGCTGTCACCTGTATACCACTCGTTGAGTCAATCAAGCACTAATAAAGGCATGTATGGATCCCACGAAAGAATTACCCAGAAGGATCCGTTCGCCCAAGGTACAGGTAGACAACAAAAATTTTTATATGCTTGCTTTTTGATGCTCTTTAGTTATTAGTATTTTTTTTCTGACAAAACACGCATGAGGAAGGAAGGAAAAAGAGTTGTACTATTGGAAAATATGGAAAGCGTGGTCGTTTTACGGATTACTGGCTGGAAGACTGGCTAAACTGAATCGTGCGTACTCTAAGATCCGTGATAGCAGGCGCTTTTCCGAATTGTCTTTCTGGACAAAATCCGCACTAGAGCTGTGTGCATATGGACAAATATGTCTACACATGTACTAGAGGTATTGATGGATTCGACGTACTAAAGATTTGCCGTAAGTTCCCAATACACGGTATGAGGAACGCTCGCCTGCTTCGTGACTAGCCGACTTAGCCATCTTTCATATGATGGAATGAAGATGTAGAATAAAATAACAAAATGACATAAACATGATAATACACAGTACTACAAATTCATGAATTCAGTAGGCTAAAGCGGTTTGTGTTCTGCGACACAAAGCTGTTTGTGTTTACGAAAAGCTTTCCTAATAGCTGTCCTTGACATTATGAACGTACTGGTGACGCTGTCGGGTTATCTAAGACTTCCTAGGAAATCAATGTCCGTAATTCATGTGCTCCACATCGTTCGAGTTCAAGCTTCGGCTGTTCATATGTATATCAGACATTGCCCAAGCTGTAGTTACGTGCTCAGTGTAAAGAAAAAACCCCGTAAAAATAAAGCAGTAGAAAAGATAGGAGCTGTTTTGCTGGACTGTACGACGACATTGTTGTAATAATTTTTCGTGCTTTCCTGGTGAGTGTTCTGTCTTCCTCAGCAAAAAATCGCCCTCTTTTTTGAGTAGTGGTTCGGCGTCCATCCTGCAACACTCAAAGATCAATAACTCGAACTCTGAGTGCATCCTTCCAATCAAAATATCCAGTGCTAAAGGTCGATAATGCTCTACGTTCTTCCTGAACCATGATGAGAAGAACGTGAAATCCTATTCCAGTTGCTCAAAAAGCCGTAGGAGTAAAGATGATTAGAAATAGCCAAAGTTAGGACAAGAGCTGTTCTTCTACCGTGGTATGAGTCCATGGTAATATTCTGCTCCTCGAACGTCGTCCGTTATTGAAACAACATCGTCACCTTGTGATGTCTGCAACCTTTCTAATTCGTCAGCGTTGGATCTCGCACGAATGAAGGAAATCGCAATCAACATACCCCGTCCGCCGTGCTATCCTTGTCCTTCTTTGCTTTAGTCATCGAAGAAATTAGACCCACCTCGTAGATTTCTCTATATTTATACAGTTGAGTTCGATTGAAAACAACCATTTATCAGTTTCCCAGTAAACATGTTTTTAAGAAAACTTATGATAGTTTCATGGGAACTGTAGTAATGTAATGAAACAAGAAACATTCTTGATATATATCTTTCTACTTATGTTGAGCACACACGAGGAGCTATTTTATTTCTTTATTTATGCACAAGCTGACGTTTCGGCTGATTTCGCCTTCCACAAAGCCTGGAAGGGTTAAGTTGACAGCAATCCATTCGGCCAAACACCTCCATAACCAAACAGAAAAAACGCTAAACCAAGATTTCAATCACATTTAGCATAGCTCTGCTCACTCACCGCTTTCTATAAGTTTTCCACTGAGTATGTCGCGTGAAGACCGACCGCACAGAATTCACATGGAAGCGTAATGTGTCCCTTCCATCAGAATAACAGGTTTATATACTGTCCAATATCACGCGTGATAACGAGGCATTCCTCCCTGCGGTTCATTTTCGGATTCTTGGAAATAATCCAGAATGCCTCTAGAGTTTTGCGCGCTTGTGTTTTCGATTCTTGCGCGAGGATCGTAACCCTTACTTCAACATCTTCTCCGTAATGTTTCTGCGTGTTATGCGTACCTAGTGGAGTACTTGGCTTACGTTTGCCGACTAGGTGTTTTTTTATACGTACGCAGAGTGGTCTACTCGTTTCGCCAGCGTATTCGTCCCCGCACGCTTTACAAGAGATCAGATAGACTGTACCCGAACTCATGCAGTCACCGTCTCTACCATTGGAGCAAATTATACAATTTTGCGTTGCACATAGACGGTCCTATAGGCGGTTACGAACTAGCTGGCGCCTTAGATTACTCGGTGGTAATTCGATTATCGCTACCGAATTCTCTAGACTGGCCCTTCTTAAACAGCGTTTTATAGCTGCACTTACTTCATTTGAAATGAAGGGCAGTATAAATATAATAGATATATATTCAATCAATGCTGAAGTTAATAGAAAGTCGGACTTGGGAGTTACTACAATCTTGATAATCCATAGCTTCTTATATTTTTATTTAGACTCAGAATGCTGGTTTATTCGATGGACTCATGTGGACATTCCGTAGCCGGACACTTCAGAAAGGAGAACTCCTCAAAAATCCGTAGGATCCAGTTGACACGTTCGCAGTAGAAATTCGGACAGGAATAGTACATGAAACTCTTTTATTCACTTGCAACATCTTAAACTCGATAGTCCGAGAATTTTTCATGGAATGCCTCTCGTTGCTGGGACTAAGTGCCCAATGATACACATGTGGTCCCTGGTTCGATCCCTCGCCAAGACCTCACCAATCCTTCTATCATTCCTTGGCGGACAAATCGGTAACAGAGATGCCTGGAAGGATAGCGGCACTTCCATTTGGCACATCGGTAGGCCGCAATTCACTGTACAAGCCAGATATACATTAAGTTATCTTTGACGATGCTTCATGAAGTCAAATGCATGGCGCATACCTCAAGGATTGATCAAAATCAAAAGCTTTAGGCTTTTGCCATGTATTGTAAATCCCAGGAAAAACAATTAATTGTTTTTGATATTATGACGATGCACTTAACGCAATATACTGTGGTGAACACCGGAGATTTAACGAGACCACACAACGGAAATTCGTTCGTTTTTGTCACCTGATCATGGACTGTTTCTCCAAATACGAGCAAAATGCAGCATTGTTGAAAAACACCGGGAATATAAAATTCGGTTTTCTCCAGATATTAGATCTTCAGTGTACAAGAGATCATCGGTATGATCCGCGCTGACGGATTTGTGACGGTGAACGGTGATCGGTCCACGGTGCTGGCTTGGCAGTGGCCAGTAAGGCAGACCACTGCGTTCGAAAGAACGAGCACGAGCGCATGTGCAACGTAGGTCATTCCTCCACTGACCCAATCTGCCGTAGGTACACCACCTGTATTAATAAAAAATGTTTTACATTTGCACTTTCTATCAGGGAGATAATGAAGCATGAACAAAGCTAAGAACCACAGGTGGTCTTCCAACCAATCCAACCATTACCTTTTCCGGTGGATCACTTGCTATACATTACACCAATGGAGCCCATACTTTGCCTTTTTCTCGGTCTGTTCAGATTCAACAAGTCCTAAAAGACATATGAGAGAATGAGTATGGAAAACAACGTAGGCACTGTCATAAAATTGCATCACCATGGCATTAAATATACTGTGAACGTACAGCTATGAAGTAGATATGTAGATAGCAGTAGACATGACGATGGGTTATGCAAAAGTGCAAATGTAAAATATTTTTTCTTAATACAGGTGGGGTACCTACGGCCGATTGGGTCAGTGGAGGAATGACCTACGTTGCAGGTGATTGAATGCATATTTGGCCTTTACAATGACTTGTGGTGGCCTCCGATGTATCAAACCAGTGCTGCAATCCTCCTAGACAAGTCTGGTACCAATTTGCTGGCTCCGGTGGGATGGAAGGCTTGATGGGCCATGGGAGTGGGGATCGATTCCATGTGTGTACCGCAGTGCGCCTCCAACCACCGCGCCACAAATGAATAATAATAATAGCAGTCTTAACTCTTTTATTTACTGCATTTTTCTTCTTAATGGCAGGTTATGCTGCGAAATATAACTCGTATGAAATGCTGAGATATTTGCAAAACTCCGGACCACAGGTGTATGCAATGGAGAACGAACACGCGCTGTTGTCCTTACCGGGGAGCAGCGCACTTCACCACTACACCATCCGGGTCCTTCGCTTTGCGTGTATCTCAGCTAGTTCTATCGATCTTCATACGAGTTATATTTCGCAACGTAACCTGCCATTAAGAAGAAAAAGGCACTAAATAAAAGAGTTAAGATTGTGATTATAACTAGCCTCAGCTTAACTGGGTTCAATGCCGATATTGGCTCCCCAGATCAACCCCGTTGACGGGTGATTGCTGATGGCAAAAA